TGAAGCCGTTGAAGTTAGGAGAGGTCCAGGAGCTGATGTTTTTCATTACCAGCCTTTCTTTGTTATTTGATTCTTTTTTAAAGAAAGAATTTCATTTATTATTTTTAAAATTTGCTATAGGGCAAGGAACCAGCAGTTAGCATAATGGCTATGTCGCTGGACTCCCATGTGGTCGACTGTGGTTCGCATCCCGGACCCAGTGGCTTAAAACTCAAGCTGGGCGCGTGTGTGTGTGTGCCCAAGATCCCAAGAGGAGAATGAAGGAGAAGGGATTGCAGCGTGACCATCCCCCCTGGGGAGTGATTTCTCACTTTCTGTCTCTGTCTCTCTGTCTGTTTGGTGAGCACATGCGCCCTATAGTGGAAAAACAAAACAAAACAAAACCCTCTCCAAAAAAAAAAAAAAATTGCTATAGGGCACATGTATTCAGAGAGAGAGAGAGAGAGAGAGAAGCAAGCTGCTAGGTCCGAGACTCAAACCATGGTCGGCCATGTGGAAGTCCAGTGCCTCAACACTATGCCACCTGCTGGCCCTTTGATTTTTATTTTATATTATTATGTATTTAAATAATTATTTCATTCAAGTTTATTTATAATTATTATTTTTTAATTTGACCAGAGAGAGTGAGAGAGAAATAAAGTGAGAAAGCAAACCGCCAGGACTAGGACTCAAACCTCAGTCAGCCACTTGGGAGTGCAGCGCCCGTACCACTTGCCAGCTCCCTTGATTTTTATTTTTAACCCTGTAAATACATTTATTTTGTTAAGGAAAAGAGAAATACAGTCCTCTGTTGGTGTTTGTGGGAGACGGGTTCCAGGGCTCCCCTGTGGATACTAAAATCCAAGGATGCTCAAGTCCTTAATATCAAATGGTGTATTTGCATATAACCTATGTACATCTTCCTGTCTATTTATTTACACAGACAGGATCTGCTCTGTTGCCTAGGCCAGCATGAAGCTCATGCTCTTGCTGTTTGAGGCCCCAAATCACTGGGATTATAGGTGTACGCCACTGTACCAGGCCTTTAGGATGGACCCGAATCAAACCCTGGCCTGCTTGTGATCTCAGCCTGCTAAGCAAATTCTTAGCAGAACACCCACGAGAGCTGGGCTTGCTGTATGCTTTAAATAATCTCTGGATTTTTTACAATATCTGATAGAATGCAAATACTAATGTAAATAGTTGTTTTTTTTCTTTTTAGGTTTTTGCCATGGCATGTGTGCTTCCTGGAGAGAGAGAGAGTGAAAGTAAGAAATCACCCCTCCAGGGGGGTGGCCACACCAGAATCCCTTCTTCATTTTCCTCTTGGGATTTTCAGCACACGTGCACACATGCCTAGTGTGGTTTTCAAGCTGCAGAGTCCAGGACTCAAACCGTGGTTGGCCATATAGGAGTCCAATGCCTTAGCCACAATGCCTTCTGCTGGCTCCTATATTGTATTGTTTAAAAAAAAAATTTTTTTTGAGTGGTTTTGTTATAGGGCGTGTGCGCTCTCCAGACAGAGAAAGACAGAGCGACAGAAAGCGAGAAATCACCCCCCCAGGGGTAATGGCCACGCCGCAGTCCCTTCTCCATTCTCCTCTCGGGAGTTTGGGCACGCACGCACATGCGCCCGGCCTGAATTTTAAGCCACCGGGTCCGGGATGCGAACCACAGTCGACTATGTGGGAATCCAACGACATAGCCATTATGCTAACTGCTGGTTCCCTAAATTTTGTATTTTTAGGGGCCAACAGGTGGCATAGTGGTTGAGGCACTGAATTCTCACATGGTTTACTGTGGTTCAAGTCCTGCATTGGGCAGCTTGAAGCACACCAAACATATGTGTGCGTGCCCAAAGGAGACGAATTGCAGTGTGGCCATCCCTCCCCCCCGGGAAGAGGGGTGATTTCTTGCTTTCTGTCTGTCTCTCCAGCAACTGCACATACCCTATAGCAAAAATCTCTCCCCACCAAAAAAAAAACAAAAAAACACTTTTATATTTTAATATTGTTGTTTTTCCCTCAATTAAAAACAATTATTTATTATTGTGGTTATTTTAAATTTGCTGTAGGGTACATGCACTCACCAGAGAGACACAGAGACGAAGTTGAAAGCAAGCTGCCAGGTTTGGGACTTGAAGCACGATAAGCCATGTGGGAGTCCAGCACCCTAACCACCATGCCACCTGCTGGCCCCCATTTTTTTTTTTCTTAAAGGTTTTTGCCATAGGGCTCTTTCACTTACCAGGGAGATAGAGAGACAGTGAGAGGGAAAGTGAGAAATCACTCCCCAGTGGGGATGACCACCTTGCAATCCATTCTCTTGGGATTTGGGGCGTGCACGCATGCGTGCCCAATATGAGCTTCAATCAGCCGGGTCCTGGACGTAAACCATGGTTAGCAGTGTGGAAATCCACACCTTCACCACCATGCCACCTGTTAGTCCTCCCAAATATGTTCCATTCACGGCTGAGGCTGCTGACGATACTATGAACTCAGACAAACTGCTGTGGCCTTCCCACTAGGACAGGCCCTTTTCTGGACTCCATTTCCCCATCCAGTTAAGACAGATGGCAGAGCAATAGCCAGACTTCTCAAGGTGCTTGTCTGCAGTGCCTACCTTTCCTGGGATTCTCTGGAGCACTTGATAGCACTGACCACTTCCTGTTTATTTTAGAGATTTCCGCTATAGGACACATGCCCTCCTGAGAGAGAGAGAAAGCCAGAGATCACCCCCTGGGGTGAATGTTCATATTACAATCCCTTCTTCATCCTCCTGTCCAGATTCTGGGCACACAGGCACACACACCTGGCATGAGTTTTAAGTCGCTGGATTTGGGACTTGAATTGGGGTTGACTACATAGGAGTCCAGCGATGTAACCATTATGCCATCTGCTGGTCCCTAAAAATATAAAAACACTCTTTTTAAAAACATTCTTCTAGGGACCAGTAGGTGGTGTGGTGGTTTAGGTGCTGAACACTCCCACATGGCCGACCACGGTTCAATTCCTGGATCTGGTGTTATGCTTTTCCGCTTTCTCTCTCTCTCTTTCTGTGTGTCTCTCTCTGGTCAAATTTAAAAACAGATGAATGAGTAAATTAAAAACACTCTTCTCATGGCTTCTCCTACTTAAGTTCCTCCTACCTTTTGGGCTTCCATCTTTGTGAACTTTAAACTGACCAGATAGAGACGGAGAGAAAGAGAGAGAAGGAAAGTAAGAAAGCAACCCACCAGGTCCAGGACTCAAACCACGGTCAGCCATGTGGGAGTCCAGCACCTCAACCATGCCACCTGCCAGTTCCCCCTAAGTCCTCATAGTCTGCTTCCTCTCAGCACTTTTGTCTACTCCTATGGTTTTATTTAGCATCTCTGCCCAGTTCTCAAAGCTGCCTGCATGGCAGGTGGTTCTGAATTCTAGACCTCAGGTCCTCTCCCCTTGGACGCTGCACAGTCTCCTCAAGTTCCAAAGATCCAGTATCCCACCTCCAGCATTGACGGTCTTAGCAAATGGCACCAAAGCACCTGAATTCTCCTCTTGCCTCCACTTCCTGATCCCACACACAGTTAAACGCCAAGACTTCTCAAGATGCTTTTTACTTTTTTAGAGGTTTTTGTCTTAAGGCAGGGGTGCTTGCCGCAGAAAGAGAGAAACAAAGACAGTGAGATGGGAAGTGAGAAATCACACGCAGTCCCTCCTCTGTTCTCCTCCTGGGATCTTGGACACGCACGCACACATGCCTGGCTTGAGTTTCGAGCCACTGAATCCGGTACTTGAACCACTGTCAGTCATGTGGGAGTCCAGTGATGTAATCACCACACTATCTGCTGGCCCCAAGACGCTTTTATTTATTTTTATTTATTTATTTATTTATTTAGAGAATTTTTTTGCTATAGGGCGCATGCACTCACCAGACAGACAGAAACAGAGACAGCGAGAAATGACCCCTCAGGGGGGATGGCCACGCCACAATCCCTTCTCCTCCATTCTCCTCTCGGGATCTTGGGCACACATGTACATGTGCCCGGCGTGAGTTTAAGCCACCTGGTCCGGGACTCGAACTGTGGTCTACTACATGGGAGTCCAGCAACATAGCCATTACACTAACTGCTGGTCCCAACACTTTTTATTTTTTTAATTTGCCAGAAGACACATCTGCTCACAGAGAGGGGGACCGTGAGAAAGCACCTCCCATGGGTCACAGTCAAGCCACGATCCCTTCTTGTCCGTCTCATCCTCCTTTCATGATTTTGGGAGTGGTTGCACATGCGCCTAGTGTGTTTTTCAAGCCTCCAGGTCCAGGACTTGAACAATTCCATCAGCCATGTAGGATCCAACCGCCTCAATCACCACACCACCAGAGGACCCTCTAGACACTTTCCACATCTGTTCACCTGTCCTCCAGCCTCTGCCATGCTGCAGCCATGGGGGCTGGTGGTCGCTGATGGCCTCCTAACTGGTCCCATGGCTTCGCCTCTTGCTCCCATTCCAACCCAGTCTCCCCTCACAGTGGTCTTAAAATGGAAATCTGCATATCACATTTTACCTTAAAAGTTTGCATGAAATGTGCTCACTTCGGCAGCACATACACTAAAAATTGGAACGATACAGAGGAGATTAGCATGGCCCCTGCGCAAGGATGACACGCAAATTCGTGAAGCGTTCCATATTTTTAGTGAATTAAGCCTGAAGGGAAAAAAAAAAAGTTTGCATGAAGTTCCCAAACCCTTCAACACGCATCTGCCAACGCACAAGGTCACGCTGCCCACCTGCACCTTCATCGTAAAGCACTCCACTTCTAACTGCTCTCCAGCCACGCTGGCTCTTTCTGCAGGGTGGGGGTGACCCACGCCCCACTGCTTGATCTTGCCTGCCAGGACATTATGTCACTGTCCCTCCTCAAGGGTTTCTTTCCTCTCCGCTCTGAACTCTTATCACGTAGTAGCTGGCTGTCCACCTCCCCCGCAGACTGGAAGCCCACCCGCGTGTCCCTCGCCTTGAGCCCAGGAGATGTTGAACATGAGTTTGTTGCAGGAGTGTGGGAAAAGGACGGGACAGACAGCTAAGGCGGCAGGACAGATGGAAGGGGTAAGTCAGGATTCTGAGACAGAAAGACCAAGGCTGCAACAGGAAGGGTCGCACGAAGGGTAGACCAAGAGGGCAGACGGCGGGCACCCTGAGGCGCGCGGTTGCAGGTAGGGCGGCGGTGGCGCTGGGAGCCGGGCGCACGCGGGACCGCGTCTCCGCGGGGGGCGCTTGTCGCCAGGGGCGTGGCCTCGCGCAGCCCCGCCTGCTCGCCGGCGACCCGGCAGGCCGGCGGGCCCCCGGGCGGGGGG